GAATAAAAAAAGAAACAAATTTTCATGTTTCTTATTATTAATGTTGTTATTAATAAATACAGGTAATTATAATTGGAGAATAATTATATATACTATATATACGTGGAATTTATTTATTTATTTATCTACTTTTTTATTTCTTTTGAATTCAAATCAATATAAAAGTAAAATCACAGTCATTAATAACAATAACCCAATTATTACCAACTAATACTACCTCTGTTATTGATTATACTACTACTTCCTCTGTTGGTGCTCATTCTACCTCTGCTGTTACTCCTGATACCGCTACCTCTTCAAGTTTTCCTGGTGCTGTAACAATGGTTACGGTAGCAGTTGTTTTTTCAACTGCTACTTTAACGGGAGTGATTTTTTGTATTAGTTATGGCATAAGAAGACGAAGAAAGGTCAAGAAAATAGAGGAATTACTCAAAAATAGTCATGCTAATGATCAAGACATGATTAAAAATTCAAGTTAATAATGAAACTGATAAAAATCAATTTCAAAATATTGACAATATTCAAGATAGTGATGAAAAAATTCAAGTTGATAATAAAACTGATAAAATCAAGTTGTGAGTAATAATGATGATGATGATACTGTTGATAATAATAATAAACCTAAGGGATAACCGCTTAACATCATCAACAAAAAAAACACAATAATGGTGAAAATATGAATTTTAAATAATTTATTATTGTTATATATTATGGCGTGATATTAAACTAGAAGTTATATTAACTAGTCATCATTATCATCATAAATTTTAAAATGGATCACCTAAGAAAAAGAAAAATTAATATTTTTTGTTTGAATAAATTATTAATAATTAAACATATCTGTTATATTATTTATATTATTACCTAGAACATCCCAATTTGGAATAAACCTTTTATCCACTAATTTCCAAACTTGAGATGTGTCAAATAACTCAATAAACTGTTGGTCTAGTGACCTTGATTTAGGATGTGAAAATCTTCGATATTCATCAAAGATTGATGTATGAGACCATCTTTGCAATTTTCGAAGACATCCTATAAGGCAGCCTGTTCGATGCTGCAAACCGATAAAAAATAATTTTAATTGACACTGTTATCATTTAAAGACCTCAAAGAGTTCCATTAAAAAATTATAATGTTTCACCTTTCCTTTATTACAATGAATCAATATTGGATGATTGCGTCGATCTGAATTAAAGGTCATTTCAATTAATAATTTCATAAAATCTCACCTGTAAAAATTCTTTATTATATTTATTATCTTTAGAAAATTAAAGAAAGCCAGCTAACCTAGTATAACTGCTAATGCATCACATATTTTGTCTTCAGGAACTATTGATTTTTTATAATATTGTGAAAATTTAATTGTATTCAAATAGCCAATTCATATCTTTCTAACATTCCAATCAATACATACTTTGAACAAATGGTTCCTAATGGAATATATTATCATTTGTACATTAGTATTATAATTACACATATATATATTATGTATAGTGATTATTACCTTATTACCAGCAATTCCAAATTGACACAATTTGATGTTATTTGCTTCAAGGAACTTCATGTTTTGTTCAGGGTAATCTTCCAAAATTAAAGTTCTTTTTTTATATGTTGTTATATTATTATTATAATTCATTAATAAACCATGATTATAATTATAATAACCTAATAATTGAATTAAAATTAGATACATGATTTGAGAAATAAAAAAAAATCCATCATTGCGTGATGAAGGAAAAAAAATATCTACATATATATGTATGAATGTATGCATTTCATTCTTTTTTTATCTCAAAAAAAAAAAAAACAAATCAAATGTTATTTTTCCTTTCTTGAGAAAAAAAGCAAAAAACCATACAATATAGTACGCAAACCCAATTTTTTAAGGAAAGCAAAATTCTTCTTTTTTGGAAAACTACTTCTATAAACCCACGTTGATACCATGTTGAAATTTTCAGGTGGGATTAATTCTTCGTATTGAATAGGTTCTTCTTCTTCTGAAAGCATGATGGACATTCAAATATCACATAACGTGTAACATGAATTATTTATATTATTTAAAGTACTCAAACCAGTCACATAAAATTGGTATATGTGCACTAATTAATCACCATTCAAAATTTTCATATATCGTTTCTCTACTACTTTTACACTACCTGCTAAAAGATCTGAAAAAGATCTGTGGTCCTTCAAACTTTATAATAAATATTTTATTTTTATATTAATAAAAGCAAAATGTCTTCTGAAAATAATATTTGTTCT